GCAGCCAAGTGCCTGGAGGATAGGAGGGCCCCTCAGGGCAGGGAGGGCAGTGGGACGGGCCTTGGGGGCTGGGTCTCGAAGGGGAGCCTGTGGGGCAGCTGAGGGCCAGTTTGTGCCCCTGCCCAAGCCTGGCGTGGCCGGGTCATGGCCTGGGGCTGCCATGTACTCAGGAGGGCAAGGCAGGAAGGGCCTGGACTGCGGCCCCTTCTTGTGATTTACCCATCCTTGGCTGGTTTCCAGACACAGGTCTTTCTCCCCACCCTGAGCCTGTCGTCCCATCTGTCCATGCGGGGCTGGCAGGGCAGAGCTGGGAGCCCCACAGGGGTCACCAATAACTAGGGGCAGACCCCTTGCTCACCTCCTAGCCATGCAGCCTGGCATATGGAGCCATGGGGACTCGGTGACAGGAAGGGGATGGGTGGATCTGTCCCCTTCCCCCTGTGGGGGCAGAGCTGGATCCTAGCCCTAGCAGAATGCTAGCAGAACGGTTGTTGAATGACTAGAGAACTGACTGAGAGAAGCCTCTAGTCGCGGCTGCTCCACACGGCCTGTGGGCTTCCAGGGGGCAACTTAGAGGGCATCCCTGCTGGGTCCTCCTGAGTGGGATACACTCGGCCTCCTGTGCTGGCCAGGTGGCGCGGGCAGACATGTCGGGGAGGCCCGGATGAGAGCCTCTTCCACTGCCTCGACTTGCTGGCGAGGACAGGCTGGGTGCCCTCAGAATGGATGCCACGCCTCTGCCCACAGGCCAGGACTTGCTCAGAGATGCCTCTTGGAGGCCGCTTCTGGAAGCCTGGGGCCGAGGGTGAGGTGGGGGTGTTGTGGGGTTGGACTGTGGGGGCCTCAGAGCAGCTGGGGAGGCTCAGAGCCCGGCGGCATCACCTTCACTGGCAAGGCCTTCCCATTACAGCTAGGGAAACCGAGGCCCGGGGGGGGGCATTTGGTGGCAGGTTCTCGTGGGCCAGGGGTACCTCAAGGAACAGGCTCCAGGCCCACCTGAGGAGACGGACTCCGCCACACCCCTGCCTGGGTCCCTTAATCCCCACTCCTCGGGGCGGGTAATGTCACCCCCACTGTACAGGTGGCAGACTGTCACAAGGGGATGGGGCTTGCTTGGGCTCTCCCAGTGGGAGGACTTCCTGGGGCTTTGACCCTGGGGTGGCACTGTCCTGCCTGCATCCTGGGGCCACAACAGTGGGGACGGCTGGGCCTGGGGCTGATCCTGAACCACGTATCACTCCGTGGGTGCTTCCTGTTCCCTCCCATGCCCACCCAGTGTTGGTCCCTGGGGACTCCACCCTGGGGGGACACGTCTCTGTCCCTGAAGGGCCCACGTGGGGACCAGCCAGGCATGCCAGGGCACAGCCACTGGGGTGCGCAGGCTTCCTGGGGGTGGCGACGGGGGTAAGGGACTGCCCACCCCAGGTTTGGAAGCTTCCAGGGCAATTTCAGGCATCTGGAGCTCCAGGATGGGGAGGCCCGAGAGCAGAGGTGGGGCCGGTGGCGCTGGACAGCCCAGAAGAGCGGCCTCCGTGAGCGGGGGCGCTGTGGGGCCCATGGCAGGGGAGCGGTGGGGTGAAGGGCCTGTGGCTGGAGGTGGGGGCACGGTGGGACGGGGTCCAGGAGGCCCCAGACCCTGAGGAGGGTGTGTGAGGGTGAAGACAGGGTCCCAGGCGACCAGCTGGCCAGGATGGGAGGGTGGGGGTGGGGCGGGGGCTTTGGCACTGCTCTGCCGGGCTGTTGGTGGATGGGCTTGCCTTGAGGGTCCAGGCGTGTCAAGAGCTGTCCCCACCCCAGTGCTTGGCCCCTCAGGAGGAGTTAGGGCACACTAGGGTGGGGTAGGCAGTTGGGACAAGCCGACTGGGGACCCTGCAGGTGGCCCAGCTCTGTCCCTGCTGAGGGGCAGGGAGAGTATGAGTGTGGGGGTCAGAGGCTCCTGGAGTGAGGTTCCCCACTCTGCTCTCCCAGAGGCCAGCTGGGTCCCAGGGGCACGTCCATCCCTCTGTGCTGCCTGGGCCTGGGCCCTGTCCCTCCTCCCCCATCCATTTCCTCTGCCATCCCCACCCCACCTGGGACAGAGGGACCCAGGCAGGACACTGGTCCTCATTCCTGCATCACAGACCCTGCCCTGGGCATACCTCCCCCTCAGCCCTGGGGGACAGTCCAGTGTCATCCGGGCTATGGGCCCTGTGGGGAGGGGCCTCTGGTGTTACCAGGAAGCATGAGGAGGTGGGGCAGGGTGGGGAACAGTGTCCCAGGTGGAGGGGACTGAGTCGCAGAGGCCAGAGGTGAGAGGTGGGAGCAGGTCGGAAGTGTCCAGGTTGGTGGAGCTGCACGAGTGGGTGAGACAGCCCCAGACTGGAGTGGGGGCAGGGGACGGGGTGGACATAAGCCACCTCCCTGGTGTCCCTGGGACAGAGGATGGACCCGAGGGCCAAGAATGCCAAGTCCCCGCACAGAGCCACCAGCACCCTGGGCCCCCTCATTGCTCTCTGGCCCAGCCCCTCAGAGTTCATGGCCCCAGCCCCCTTGGCCTCTGGATGCCATCCAGGCTGCCTGGCTGTCTGCCCAGGCTCTGCCGTGCCCACCTCGGCGCCTACACACTGAGCTGGAGACGTGGAGGATCCTTCCGGCTCCTCTGCCCCAGACCCAGGCCCCTGGTTGGAAGTCACCTGCCTCTGGGATGGATTTGGGGTGTTTTAGGAACCCCTCCCAAGGCCAGTGCCTGTGCAAGGGCTGGGGGCTGGGTTCCAGAAGCCCCGGGCTGGGCCAGGCAGCTGATAGCTCCTCTCTCTCCCCGTGACAGGCGACAGGGCCCGCAGCAGCCGAGGCCTTCCAGTCAACACCATCATCGACGTGGACCTTGTTGGCTCCGCCCCCAGGCTGGGTGGCAGTGTCCTAGGGGTGCGGGCAGGCCCCAGGAGGCTGAGGGCCAGCGGGTCCCCGACGCCAGACTTCCCTGGCCTAAGCCCCAGCCCGGGTGAGCCCGCCAAGCCCAAAGCCAGCGCCTACCACGCAACCTTCGTCTGAAGCTTCCCTGGCCTGGCCAGCTCTGTGTGGACATGTGTGGGTGGCCCGAGAATGTCCTCAAGGGCCTTGGAGGGGCTGTCTTGGCTGCCACACCCTCAGAAGCCAAACTAGGATGGGGATGACCACATTGGACAGACGGGCCTCGGACACTCTCAAGTTGGCCACAGGTCCCCAGGCCCGGCCTGGGCTGTCCCCTCGGCACTCAGCCTCTGTCCAATAAAGCATTTCTGAGGACACACCAGGCGTCGGAGGTGTGCTGGGTGCTGCAGATGCAGATCCTGCCCCTGGGGAGCCCACTCCAGGAGGCAGAAGGGCCCGAGGAGAGGACAGTGCTCGGTGGTGAGGCCGAGGGACTTATGGGAGGGGCCTGGAGTTCTCCACCTCAGACGGGCCGGGCCCTGCCCAGTCCAGCCCCTGGACTAGTCCCCTTCGCACTGTCCCCCCACCCCATCTCCTCTCTAGGGGTGGGGGCTCCTCTGGGAGACGAGCTCAGCTGGTCACTGTGTCTGCAGCTATACATCTGGGTTGCCCGTCTGGGCACTATGGGGACTCTGCTGGCTGCCGTGCCCTGATCCTCTACCCTTGGCCTCATTTCGAAGGGTGGCCTATGAGGGGCTCTCAGGAGGGGCCATCTGAGCTGAAACCTGACTGCCGAGGTCTGGAAAGAGCTCAGGCACGTGCAAAGGCCCTGAGGCTGGAGTGCTTCTCGTCAGGATGGAAAGTCCCAGTGTGGCCGGAGCCCCGTAGGGAGGGAGGCGGCAGGCCACAGCGGGTGCTGAGTTGGGTCAGAAGGAGGCGGCCACGTGGGCCCAGGCTGCCTCGGTGAAACCCTCAAGGCCAAGCAGCCGTCTAGCACCCCTCCCTGGAGATAGTGGATTTGTCGTCGCATCCTAGAGGCCTAAGAGAACACAGCAAGGCCTCTTGGGTTGTTCTGGAAGCTCCCAGGGAGGGGCCCCAGGAAGCAGTGCTCTGCTCAGGGACCTGGAACGGAAGGCGGGCCCAGTACCAACTGTGTGCTAAGCACCCACCCTGCCACGCTGGCGCTCACTCAGTGTCTGCACTTCCTCCCTCCTCACAGATGAGAACACGGGGGCCCACAGAGTGGGGTTCGAGGTCCACGGTGAGGTGGCTTCCGCCCAGGTCGATCCCCAGGCCACAGGGGCGGATGGCGCTCCCCTGCGGCCCCAGTGTGGCAGCCCAGCGGGCGGAGCTGCTGACTCATAGGAGGTGGCTGTTCAGAAATTTTGCAGAAGAGGTTCCGAGGTGGCTCTGCCACAGCCCCAAGTCACGCATTCCAGGGAGACACGGGTGGGGGACACTCCAGCTCTGTCCAGGTGGTGTCCCCGTCCCAGGTCCCTGGGTGCCTGGTCCAGGGCTGTGCTGGGGCCCAGAGAGACCCAGAGACAGCTCGGAGCATCCCAGGGCTTGGGAAGGCTTCCTGGGGAAGATGCATGGGCCTGCTCAAGAGAGGAGGGGGAGGGGACACTCTGAACATAACAAGGGGCTGCCAGGGGCCCTGGTCACCCCCAGAGTTAGGACAGATGGGAGGAGCAGGCCATGCGGATCCCTGTGCTGGGGTCATCAGATGATTCCCTCAAGCTCGTGCACGACCCCTCACCGTGGGGCCACTGAGGGGGGGCTCTACGGTTCAGGAGCCCTTGTGCTGCCATCTGTGGAGTGGGGACAGTGCCACCCCACCTTGACTCAGGGAGCCACTGTCTGTGCCAGGCTGGACACGGGCCTAGGCCCATTTAAAGGCTCAGCGTGTGTGGCAGCCCTTGTAATGACCAGTTCACACACGGAAGAGTAGCCAGCTCAGTGGCGGTCAGAGACCAGAGCAGGACGGCTGAGCCCTTGGGGCAGGGGCAGGGTGCCCGGGTAGCAGGTGTGGGGGCTGGGGACACTCAGGGACTTCCAGTGTGGGCCCAGCATGGGAGGCAGCCAGGGTTAATCATTTCCACGAGGCCCTGACCCCGCCTGCCCTGGCCACTCTGCTCCTGCCTCGTGCTGCCCCTTGCGCCACCCCAGGAGGAGCCATGGGGCACTGGGCCTGGGTCCCCAGCCCCTGCCCCCGACCCGGGCTGTGCCCCCTCCTCCTGCTGCTGCTGCTGCTGCCTCATGGGGCCCAGCCCCAGGCCGGCGGGGTGAGCACTGACCTTGGTTGCAGGGTGACTAAGGGTCCCTGGGATAAGGCCAGAGGGGGGTCCCCAGGCAGGGGTGTGGAGTGGGCCAGGGGCCCAATATGGGTGGCTCAGGTCATGGGAACTGCCTGCTGGGGGGGGCCTGCTGAGCCTCACCTGGGGGCTGTTGGTCCCTGTGTGGCCTTGTCTGGGCCCCCGTGGGCCACCCCTCTCTCTCTGGGCCCCTGTCGGGTCCGAATGAGGAAGTGGGTGCAAGGGCCTCTGAGGCCTCCCAGCTGCTCTGGCCACCCCAGAACTGATCCTGGAGGGCAGTGTGGGGCCTGGATTGTGACCCTGAGCCAGTCCCGGATACCTGCTGGGCTTGCATGGAGGAGCTGGGGCCCAGCTGAGGCCTTGGGGATGTCCAGTGTCCCCTGACCTGCTCCAAGACCTGAGTTCCCGATCCTGCCCAAGTGCGGGGCTGTCCCACACCGACACCCTTTCGGCTCCTCCTAGAACCACACAGGCACCCCAGAACCTAAAGGCGGAGCGACCCCTGGGACCTCCGTGACCCAGGTGACCTCTGTGACCTCTGAGACCCCAGCGATGAGTACTCCAGAGGCAGAGGGCCCCCAAGGTGGTGGGTTCCTGCCCCCTCCCAGGGAGGCTCCCTCAAGCAGCAGCCCTCAGGGCCAAGGTGGGTCAGGTGGGCTTGGGTGGTGTCCTGCTGCCCCTGAAGGCGGGTTGGAGGAGTGTGGGTGGCCACCGGGGATAACCCTGCCACCTCCTTCGCAGTGCTCACAGAGGACGGCCAGCCCTGCAGGTTCCCCTTCCGCTACGGGGGCCGCATGCTCCACTCCTGCACTTTGGAGGGCAGCGCCCACAGGAAGTGGTGGGTTCTAGGTGGGGCAGGGGCTGGGCCCTGGTGGGGGTCTGGTCTGCCCTCTCCAGCCTGCTCCCGACCAGCCTGGCACACAGCAGGGGAATGGGAAGCTCTGAGGTGGTGGGGCTGGGGTGGGGTAGGCAGGTCTCTGGGCTGGGACCCCTGTGTCACTGCAGGTATGGCCCCCCAGGTGTGCCACAACTCACAACTATGACCGGGACAGAGCCTGGGGCTACTGTGCAGAGGCTGCACCGCCTGCGGAGGGCCCAGGTGGGTGCAGGGCTGTGTGGGGACAGCCTGAGGCCAGGCCAGGAGGGAGCCCCAGTGGGGGCTGGGGGCAGGGCAAGGTGCTGAGTGGGGCTGGGGGCCAATGGCAGACGGCTGACTGGGGTCAGGGGTCCTGCCTGGAGTAGCGGAGGGGCTCTGGGTTGATCCCACTGAATGCAGGAGTGGGTGGGGACAGCAGGGCCAGGGAGCCTCTCCCAGGCAGGACTCTGGTCCTCTGGGGGCCGGTGTGGCCAAATGGCCATCACTGGGGCCAAGGCGCCCCCTGGTGGTGAGGCCAAGCCTGTGGCCGCACAGGTGCACGCTGGACAGGGGACCCAGTGGGCGTGAGGGGCCGAGGGAGTGAGGGCCGTGGAGTCTGTGGGGGACGTGGGAGGGGTCTGCTGCCTGATAGTGGAGATGTCAGGTTTCTGGGCGCCAAGTGCAGAGCCGGGCCGCTTGCCCAGGTACTGAGCGGGCACATGAAGGAGGAAGGGGAAGCCCATCCCCCCGCCCAGGGGACTTGCACCCTGAGGGCCCCTGAGGGGCGGCCAGAAGGTGGAAGGCCTGAAGGAGGCCCTCGGCAAGCAGGGGGTGTCACAGACTCATGGCCCTTCTCACGTGTCCCCAGCTGCCCTTGATCCCTGCGCCTCCAACCCCTGCCTCAATGGGGGCTCCTGCTCCAACACCCAGGCCCCCGAGTCCTACCACTGCAGCTGCCTTGGGGCCTTCACGGGCAAGGACTGCGGCACAGGTGAGGGTGCTGTGAGGGCCACGGGGGCCTCGGGGTCCACAGGGGTCTGGGGACTGGAGTGAGCAAGTCCCAGGAAGGTGGGAGAGCAGGTGCTTGCCGGGGTCCGCACAGGGCAGTGGGTGGACAGGGTGTGGGCCTCCCTGTGCAACCCCCAGAGAAGTGCTTTGACAAGACCCGCTACGAGTACCTGGAGGTGGGCGACCGCTGGGCCCGCGTGCACCAAGGCCGCGTGGAATGGTGCAACTGCTCGGGCGGCCAGGCCTGGTGCGAAGGCACCCGCCACACAGGTGCGCCATGGTTGGGGGGGCCTGGGTGCTTTGGGGGACCATGTCACTGAACCCCAGGTGGGTGTCCCCATCCCCACCTGCGCTTGCCCGAAATCACCCAGCAACGAGCGCACTAGGGATGGACCCAGCCCTGACTCCACCCTTGCGGGACACCTTGAGGCCCCTGGCCCAGCTCCTGACCTCCCCCTAGCCTGCCTGAGCAGCCCGTGCCTGAACGGGGGCACCTGCCACCTGATCGTGGCCACCGGGACCACTGTCTGCGCCTGCCCGCCGGGCTTTGCCGGGCGGCTCTGCAACATTGGTGAGTGGGTCCGCCATGGCCGGGTGCCCGGTGTGTGTCAGGGTGGGCTCCACCACAGGCTGGCTCACTGCCTGGCATGTACCCACAGTGCCCGCTGAGCGCTGCTTCTTGGGGAACGGCACTGGGTACCGTGGCGTGGCCACCACCTCGGCCTCAGGCCTTGACTGCCTGGCCTGGAACTCCGACCTGCTCTACCAGGAGCTGCACGTGGACTCGGTGGGCGCCGCGGCCCTGCTTGGCCTGGGCCCCCACGCCTACTGCCGGTCAGCACCCAAGGCCGCTCTGGGCTGCCTCAGGCAGATCAGGCAGGGTCTGTGCCAGGGAAGCTGCCCAGTGGGAGGGCAGTGGACCTGAGAAGGCAGGGGTCTGCCCCGGTGTTGGAAGCCCTCTGCTGAGTGTCCTGGTGGCCTCCATCCCCACCCCAGGGGACAGTGTGACCCCCCAGTCCTCCCCCACCCTCTCTGGGGGGCAGACTCCCCATCCACCCACAGCTCCCGCACACTGCAGGAACCCGGACAAGGACGAGCAGCCCTGGTGCTATGTGGTGAAGGACAACGCGCTCTCCTGGGAGTACTGCCGCCTGGCGGCCTGTGGTGCGCTGCTGGCTTGGGTTGGGAAAGCCCTGCCTCAGGCCCCACAGAAGTCACAGCAGGTTTCCCTGTGGTCCTCCTTCCTCACCCCTACTCCTGGCCACTTCCCCATCTGAGAGGTGGAGAACCTGAGGTTCACAGGACCAAGCTGGGCAGGGGTCACCTGGTGGGTTAGTGCCAGGGGTCAGGGGGTGAAGCACCTGCCGCAGTGGGTCAGTCTTCCAGGTGACAGCCTGTGCCGTGCCTGCCTCCCTGCACGACTGTGCCCGGAGGCCCCCAGAGACTGGAGGTCGGATGAATGGAGGGTGGACGACATGCAGGACGCCCAGCTGGCGCCCTGGAGTCAGAGCCTGGGGCGGCAGCTCCCCACAAGGCAACCTGCCCTGTGGCTCCCATTCCCTAGGGCTCTCATGCAGGGGTCTCTGACCATCCTTGGCTTGGCTGTGGGGTCATGGCTGCTGGGAGGGACACGAACACCTCCAGGCCACTCTGGCTCTTATGAAACCTGTGATTGGGTACTGTTCCCATATCCTACAGATGAGGAAACTGAGGCTCAGGGAGTGAGCCATGGGCCCACGAGGGCAGGGCTGGGCCCGAGCCCTGGACTCTCTTCTAGAAGAGGGCAGGGCAGAAGGCGGGTGGATCCCTGAGGGCCTGAGAAGGGTGGACAGTGGGCCCAGCTGGGACCCTCTCTGGCTGGTCTCTGTCCTGTGGATTGGCATGTGCAAAAGGAGCTGCCTCCGAGTGGTGGAGTGACCTGGGGCCTCTGCTCCCAGAGTCCCTGGCCAGAATCCAACCCCTGCTCCCTGAGGTCCTGGTGACCCTACCCGAGCCTGCCCCGGCTGGACGCCAGACCTGTGGCAAGCGGCACAAGAAGAGGACCTTCCTGCGGCCACGCATCATTGGCGGCTCGTCCTCCCTGCCCGGCTCCCACCCCTGGCTGGCCGCCATCTACATTGGGAACAACTTCTGTGCCGGGAGCCTCGTCCATACCTGCTGGGTGGTGTCCGCAGCCCACTGCTTCTCCAACAGGTGCGCCCCGGCCAGCCCCGGCCACCGGAGCATCCAGGACCTGCCATCCTTGCATTACTTACCTGCCCCTACCCGCCTGTCCTCAGGCACCTGCACCTGGCACTGCCCGTGCACCCACTTCCCTGCACCTCGTGTAAGCCCATCCTCAGCCCCTCCGTTGGCCATTACTGCGGTCCTCGGCACTGCACTGTCTAGGGAGCCCCAGCTCAGTCGCGGCCTGGCCTGCGGAGGGACCCAGTGCACATGGACAGAAGAAGTGGGGGGCGTGGTCCTGTCCTCCTCACAGACCCCACCCTCCCAGGGCCTGGCTCAGATTTGGGGGATATGGGGGATGGGGGATGAGTTGAGGGGGCTGGAGGGACATGGGGGGATGGGATGGGCCCATCGCCAGCCCTGCCCTGGCTGCCCAGGTGTCCCACGGGCGTCCATCCTGGCAGAGATCCAGGGGGCGCAGTGACAATGCATGGGGGTCCTGGAGTCACTGAACAGCCAGGGAAACTGAGGCCCAGCCCATTCAGCCAGTTCCCAGCAGTAGGGGCAGCTTGGGGCTGGCAGCCGGGGTGTGAGGCCCAGCCTCGCACACGCCCAGCGAGGGGCCCACTGGGGTAGGAAAGCCCAGCACAGTGCTGTCCAGCCCTTTGCTGTGCCAGGGGAGGGGTCAATCCCTGCTGGGAGGGCTCCAGCCCAGACCGTGACACCTGGGGATTAGGGACAGGGGAGGGCAGCGGTCCAGCCAGCACCCCCATCAGTCACCCAAAGGGCTACCACGTCCAGGGTGGGTGTCCTGGCCTGCCTGCCCACTGGGCACCTGCAGCGGGCTCCTTGATGGCCTCTAAAACGGGAGCCTGAGTCCTCCTCAGTGTGGAACGAGTGGGGGCTAAGGGGCTGGCCCGAGGAGCAGGCATCCATCCACCCCCCTCCTGGAGTCCAGGGCAGGAGTGACCGTCCACACAGCAGGTGGGGAAACTGAGGCCCAGATCAGGGATGGAGGGGCTGACCTGCCCAGCCAGAGTAAGGGGCTGTGTCTGGGGACCCCACCAACCAGTCGGGAGTGGGGGTGGGGCCACCAGGCAGGGCTGGGTGTCCACCCACTTGGGCTGTCTCAAGACAGAGCCCCCCTGGCCTGGCGCGAGGCTCCCCTGGGGGCATCAACGGGGTTGTCAGTGGAGATAGCCCTGCAGGTCAGTGCCTACGTGTGACTGGCATCACGGGGTGGCCATGGCCTGCTACTCCTCCTGACCCCCAGCCCTCTGCTGTCACAACAGCCACCAGGGCACCTGCTCAGGCCTCTCCTGGGCCTGTGGGCTGCACCGCCAGCCCTCCAGGGGCCATCTCCATAGTGCTCAGCCACGGGCTGGTGGGGGCTGGGCCAGGGGTAGGGGAGAGATGGCCTCAGTGGCCGGGCAAGGGCCAGGTCCATATTGCCGCCTCCCCCCTGCACAGCCCCCCGAGGGAAAGCGTCTCGGTGGTGCTGGGCCAGCACTTCTTCAACCGCACGACGGACGTGACTCAGACGTTCGGCATCGAGAAGTACATCCCGTACCCACTGTACTCGGTGTTCAGCCCCAGCGACCACGACCTTGGTGTGCTCGAGGACATATCAGGCTGGGAGGGAGGCGGCTGGGCAGATGCACGGGGGGATAGATGAGGGTTCAGGACAGGGCAGCAAGCCCACCCCTCCTGGTCTCCTAGGCCATGCACCCCTCTGCCCAGGGGCTGCACCTGTGGGACTCCTTGGCCACCCTCTACCCATCATGGGCACCTAACAGCCTTTCCTCTCAGCCCCCACGCCCCAGGCTGACCTCTGACCCCTCTCCTGCCCAGTCCTGATCCGGCTGAAGAAGAAGGGGGACCGCTGTGCTGTGCGCTCCCAGTTCGTGCAGCCCATCTGCCTGCCTGAGCCCGGCAGCGCCTTCCCCGCGGGACACAAGTGCCAGATTGCGGGCTGGGGCCACATGGATGAGAGTGAGTGGGGTGGGGCCCCAGCCGTTCCAGGGAGAAAGTAGCAGCCACAGGCTGTGCCCGCCCTGAGCTCACCTTGTCCTGCAGATGTGAGTGGCTACTCCAGTTCCCTGCGGGAGGCGCTGGTCCCCCTAGTTGCTGACCACAAGTGCAGCAGCCCCGAGGTGTACGGCGCTGACATTAGCCCCAACATGCTCTGTGCCGGCTACTTTGACTGCAAGTCCGATGCCTGCCAGGTGAGCCGGACCAGCCCTGCCCAGGACCAAGGTGGGGCTCAGCTGGACCCTCAGTCTCAGAACTGCTCACCCTGGGGAGCCCAGAGCCAGGCGAGGCTCCAACCTGGCGGGGCCAGCTAGGGACCCTTGGGCAGACAGCTCACCTGCTGAGCCTGTGGCCAGGGCCCAGGAAAGGTGCTCACCGCCTCTGGAGGCTGCCAGGCCCCTGCTTCCTCACAGCAGGGCAAAGAAAGCTCCTCCTCACATGGGTGGGGGACTGAGGCTCAGAGAGTGGCCCAGGGTCACACAGAGCCCAGGCAAGTCCCAACTGTCCAGCCAGGGGCCAGGGCTGTCCATGTGACACCAGGCACCTCCCAGAGCCCTCTCCGTCAGTCAACCCCATCAGGGCTCCCCAGGCCTGATCCCTGCTGTCGGCTGTGACATGGCGTAGCTGTTCTATGCCCCATTTTATAGGTGGGGAAACTGAACCTAGACAGGTCAAATCACTCTTGCAAGGCCACACAAGCTTGCCCCTGGACCACACAGAGCACAGAGTGCTGGGGGAAGTCAGAGTGGTTTCATGAGGGAGGGGGTGTTTGTGCCCGTCCCAAGGGATGCGTAGGAGTTTGCTGCGTGGCGAGGAAGGCATTTCTGGCAGCAGGAGTAGCATGTACGGAACACATGGGGTGCACGCTGGTGGGCAGGAGAAGGCAGGAGTGTGTTGCTGGCCATGGGGGTGGGAGGGAGCCCCGGGGGCCTTCAGGAAGGGGAGTGTAATGTGGTCAGACACCCTGGCTCCGGCAGTGCTGCCCCCTCACAGCTGGGGAAGGAGACGGCTTTCTGTCTGAGGACGTTTGGGGAAGTGGGCCAGCTTCCTTCTCAGGACACCTCTGTCATCTGTCCCCCAAATTGTCAGACAATCCAGTGTCATTTCTGGGGTTGGGGTGAGGGAGGCTGGGGGTTGGGGGGTGGTGGAGCTGCTTTTGGGGTATCCCTGAGCCAGGCCCCTGGCTGTTGGTAGGTGGCTCTGACCAGTGTCTCTGCCCCAGGGGGACTCCGGGGGGCCCCTGGCCTGCGAGAAGAACGGCATGGCCTACCTGTACGGCATCATCAGCTGGGGAGATGGCTGCGGGCGGCTCAACAAGCCTGGTGTCTACACCCGAGTGGCCAACTACGTGGACTGGCTCAATGACCGGATGCGGCCTCCCAAGCGGCCCACGCCTCCCTCCTGAGACCCTGGAGGGGCATCCTGTCTGCTCCCCATCCCGCCTCGCTGACAATAAAGATGTTCCGGAGAACCCAGCCCATGCTTCCAGGCCCTGCCTCCAGCCTGGCCCTTCCTCCGGGCCACGACCTGGGCCCACGTCTGTACCCACCTGGCCATGGGTGGGGACCTGGAGCCAGTGCAGTTCCTCAGTGGAGGTGGGAATCTGCCACCTCGCAGGGAGGGCCTGGTCCCATGGCCCAGGGAGTCCGGCAGGGAGTTGAGTCCAGGCCTTCCCCAGGCCCAAACAGTGTCCAGCCCACACCTCCTCCTAGGTCTGCCCCCAGGCAGGTGTGTGGCCAGGATCCAGGCACCTGGGTTGTCCCAGAGCAGGAAGTGGAAGCCAAGCCCAGGCCCTCGGGCCCTGGATGGTGGCATGAGCCAAGTGGTGTGCACAGGGTCACAACCAGATAAAGACAGGCCATGTGGGACCCGCTGGCCGTCGTTTGGCTTTCAAGACAACAGCCTATGATGAGCAGCTCTCCCTGCACTGTGCCTTCCAGAGGGAGGGGGCTGGAGCCTGCCTCTGGCAGGGGCCAGGGAAGGGGCCACAGGCAGTTAGTGGGTCACTGCTGGTGCTGGACTCGCTGGGGCCATCCCTCTGCCTTGGCTCTTTTGAATAGACAGGAGGAGGTAGGGCCGGAGGTCAGAGGGAGCAGGGCGTGTGGTAGGGCTAAGGGGAGACCTCTGGGGCACTGCAGGTTCCTCTCTGCTCTGCAGCCTGGAATGTTCTCTCCTGTGCCGCCCCTCCTGTCCTTCACGCTCCAGCCCAGTGGGTCCTCTCTCAGTTGTGCTGCCTGGTCAGGCATGCACACGGGCACAGCAGGACGCAGGCTTTGCCCGACTCCCCAGCCCTCCGTCGCTCCTGTGCAGGATGCGTGCAGAAACCCCACTCGTGCAGCTTAAGCACATAGCAGGAAGTCAGCGGCCTGTTGACGTCGACTTGCCAGTTCTGTTGGCTCCCTTTTATCAGGACAGCAAAAGCGTTCCCAGAACCCCCTTCCCCCCCAGAGTGGCACCTAGCTCTCATCTGCCTGAAGGGTCACAGAGCCACACCTGGCAGCAGAGGAAGCTGGAGGGTAGGGAACAGGACTGCTGCAGCCGGCTCAGCTCAGTTTGGACCTCAGGCTGGGCATTCACAGCTGGGCAGAGCCAGGTTCTGAGCAAAGCAGAAAGAGAGACAGATACCAGGAACCATCCAGCAGCCAGAGCCCAGGCGCTTCCCCCACTGCCCCGACAGCCGTGCGTGGGCCTAGAGCCCTCAAGCTCATTGAAGCCCCCACCGCCACTGGAGACCCCTGCCCCTGCCGCTATGTTGGTTGCAGCCCCAGGCAGCAACTGGGGCAGACGCTGGTGCCAGTGCCCCAAAGTCACGGAGGTCAGGACAGCCCCTTTTCATGGGCATGGGACCTCCAGCTGCCACAAGGGCTCAGTGACCTTGTATGGATCCAGCCCCATCACGAGCCACATATGAGCTGAGCTCTCCCCAGTACCTCTCCCCTGTGAGTGCCAGGCGTTTTCAAGCAATTTCTCTGTGTCTATTGAGATAAACATGAATCTTCTTGGATCCCTGAATTCAATGCCTGCATTTATAGGTTTTTCTGGTGTCAAGCCAGCCTTGCATTCCTGCAATGAAGGGGACTGGGTGAGAATGTGAGCCAGGGGTCCTCCATTGCCCCTTCAGGGCTGCCCTGCCTTCTCACCTTGAGCTTGGCCTCTGGGCTGCGTCAGTGGGCTCTGTGCCCCTTGGTTTCTTGCTGGGCCTTTGGGGAGCCCCAGCAGTGACTTGGGGAAAAGGAGAGAGTGAGACTGGGGTACATAGTTTCCTGGCTCTCTTTTCTTGGGTGGCCTTAGTGTTGTGGGCAGAACTGGGTCCTCCTGTAATTCCATGTTGAAGCCCTACCCCCACACCTCAGAACATGACTGTGTTTGGAGAGAGTCTTTACGAAGATGATTGTAAGGAGGAGGTGAGACATACTGCCTTTCTCCTCGTGAGGTTCCCGTGGCTACTCCACCCTCCCCTGCCAAGCTCTTGCCTGTGGATCCCTTGTCCCGACCAGACCTTTGTAAACAAGCCCTCCTGGACTGGTCCTGCCACTGGTGGCACCTGTTGGGATGTGTGGCCAATATGTGCCGTATTTTTTCTTAACTTTTTTTTTGATTGCCTTGTATTTTGTTTAGGACTTTGCATTTATGTTTATGAGATTGGCCTATAATTTTCCTCTTATGTTCTTTGAATGACTATTATCAAAGCTTTCCTAACCTCCTAAAATAAGTTAAAGAGTATCCCTTGTTTTATCAAAATTCACTGGAAGATTCTCTGTAAGATTGGAATGATCTACCCTTTGGAAGTTTGATGGAATTCACCGATAAAATTACCTATCCTGGTGTTCCTTACAGGATAATATTTAAGTATTGATTCAATATCTTTAATTATTCTAGTTTGCAATTTTATTTCTTCTTGAGCCAGTTATAGGAAGTCATGCTTCGAGTAATTAATCTGCCTAATTTTTAATATTTAGTCCCACGAAGTTGTTCATGGTGTTTATTCTCTTACCGTTTCCTCTCAGATGTATCAGTAGTTACTGTCTTTCACACTGTCTGCTGGCTTGTGTTGCTACTGTTGAGGAATCCGCTTTAAATCTAATTGTTCTTTTGTAAATAATTTTTTCTCCGGTGGTTTTTATGATGTTTTTACTTTGGCACGCGGCAGTGTCACTGCAGCGTGTGCAGATGTGAGTTTCTTTCCGTATTTTATTCTGTCTGATGCAGCTTGCACTTCACAGTCGCGCTCGGGCTAGGTGTTGCTGGTGCCCTCCCCATGGTGACTCAGGGGTCCAGGCTCCTTCTGTCTAGTGGTTCCAATGTTCCATGGGGGCTGTACCAGCTGGGGAAACTGAGGCACAGAGAGGGGCAGGTGTCAACCCAGGGTCACAGGGTTCTTGGCCAGTCTGGGAGTAGGAGCCAGGTCACCTCCTCCTCCTGGCAGGAAGTTTTCCCCATCTTGCAACAGCCCTGGCAGCCGCAGAGCCATCCTCTGGGGCCACGGGGAGGGGCGTGAGGGGAGGAGCTGTCTGCTCCCATGGCAGCCCGCATTTCCTGGGCCCATGTGGCAGCAGGTGCAGTTGTCAGGCATGCAGGGGCCTGGGTCAGGGCCAGCACTCGGGAATGCTGCAGGGCTCTGCCCTCCCTGCAGGGAGGAGCAAGTGCCAGGCGCCTCGGGCAGTAGATGTAACCATGGCTACAACCTCCAACACCGCCCACTTCCACACCGGCTGTCCCGGGCCAGCCCCTTGGGGATTGGATGTGTGGGGAGCATGAATGGGGCTCTGTGGCCCAGCAACTGTTCTGCAGAAGGCGGCTGGTGGCTGCACAGGTGACAGCGGCGTGGGGGGTGGGGAGGATGCACAGAGCTTCTTCCTGGGGCTGGTGTCCCCCTCCTCGCCTCAGGTCCCAGCAAGATGTCACTGCAGCATCAAAATCAACCCTCACGGCCCTCTAAGGCCTCTCAGATCCCCGGGCAGTGGGGAGGGACGCCTGGGGCTTCTGCTGCATCTGAGCCCTGCCTGGGGCCAGCAGTGTGGCTCAGTCCTGGCCACCAGGCCCCATCCTTCTCTGTATGAGGCACAGGGAACCCAGCCTGGGGGTCTGCGTGGAATGAAATGAAGACTCACGCGGGCTCCCGTAACGCTCGCCTCTCTCCTCCCTGGGTGGGCCTTGCGCGGCTCGGCCAGGGTGCTCATTTTGCTGGGTTCATCCCCAGCCTTGTTCCTGCATCTGCGGGGCTGCCGCTGAAGTGCTGGCTGTTGGAGGCCTGTTACAGACAAGGGGCCACCAGCCAAGGCATGGACCTACCAGGCCCCCGAAGCACATGGTCTCCAGAAGAACCTGGGGTTGGCATCTCCAGCCCAGGCCAGACCCTGGGGACAGCAAGCCTGGAGCTGCAGGGTCAAACTCAGAGAGCTCAGGGAAGGGGCTGCCTGGCAGGTCCTTTACGAAGCATCACTGCCCCTCTGTGCCCATCTGTGCCAGGCTGGGGGTGGGAAGAACTGGGGCACCGAGTGGACTATGAGGGAGTCACCTGCACTGGTCCACGCTGCTAAGATCTCCACACATGAGTGAGAACACAAGTGGACAAATGGACAGGTAACCAGCACAGACCCTGCAGACCCCCAGCGCCCCCAACTCTGGGTGTAGAGGAAGCCTGAGGACTCAGGGGTGTCCGGGGCCAGGGCTGCCTGTAGTCAGGGGTGTCTTGTGACACCCTGGCCTGGTGAGAGGGGCAGGTGCTAGAGGGTGAAGCCAGGTTGGCTGAAGACAAACTTTAAAGTTGGGGACGTGTGCGCAGGAACCGGAAGGGCCCCTCCAGGCTGCGTCCTTTGCTTTGCTATTGGGAGAGACCCACCCCTGCGCCACCCCCATGGGGGGGCCCAGTGCTCCGCCCTGGGCCAGGCTTGCTCCAGGGGGTGGGTGGCCTCAGGTGGCCACGGTGGGGCGTTGAGACAGCACCACCGGGGAGGGGAGCTGGCCACGTTGCGCCCCACCCGAAGGAGAGGCCGGGAGACCCCGGCGCCCCGCCCGGTCTGGCGTCCCCGGTGTCGCGCCCCGCCCCGGCCCGCCCTCCTGGCCGGCGCAGGCCTCGGGTAGCTATTTTGAAAGTGACCCTGGGCTCGGGCGCGGGGCGGTGGCGAGGGCGCGGCGGGCGGGAACCATGACCGAAGATGACCGAGGCGGCGCTGGTGGAGGGCCAGGTCAAGCTGCGGGACGGCAAGAAGGTCGGGGCGCGGCGGGGGCGCGGGGCGGGCGGGGGCGCGGGCGGCGGCTCACGGCTGTCTCTGTCCCCGCAGTGGAAGAGTAGGTGGCTGGTGCTGCGCAAGCCGTCGCCGGTGGCAGGTGAGCGGGGGCGGGGGCCCGGCGGCGGTCGGGCGGGCGGACCCTGCGCGACCCGGGGCCCGGGCAGGCGAGGGCCCCAGCGCCCGAAATAGCCGAAACCGGAGAGCGGGGACTGGGAGCCGAGCGCTGAGCGGCGCAGCCCGGCCCGCAAAGCCCCTCCCGGAGGGGGAGCCCGCGTCCTGTGGCCAGGGACGCCCCAGAAAGCTGCACTCTGGGTGCGCGGACGGGTGGGTGGGTCCTGGCGCTCGCCCCGACCCAGGCGCTGCAGTCCTCTGGTTGCGGATCCCAGGCAGCAGGAGCAGAGGGTGGCTTCTGGGGAGGAAAGAAGGGACATCCACATTGTCTGGGGGACCAGCCCCTTCCCCAGGCGGCCAGCGTGGGAGAACGCCAGCGAGGAGCCCCCGAGTTTGGCAGTCTGGGCCACAGCTCTGGGCGCAGGGGGAGGGCCGCGCCTGCAGCCTGCAGCTGCCTCAGGAGACAGGTGCCTCAGAGCTGGCCAGGCCCCATGTGGGATGTGGGTGTCTTGAGTTCTGCTGTCTCAGGCTGCCAGGGTGTCTGTCAGCTCCCAGCAAGAGGGGGTGGGGGACAGGGGGCTCCTTCCCCGTTACCCCTGCTGTCTGCTTGGGCTGCCATGCCAGACGGCCGTGGACAAAGTCACTTCCTGCCTGGGCCCCACGGCCAGGCGTTTCTGCACTCAGTCCTTCATGCCCAGACCCTGGGGCTGGGGGTGCTGTCCAGAGCCAAGTGGGGGTACTGGTAGAGGAAAGTGGCGTCGGAGCTGAGGCATAGCCAGGCTGAGGGACAGGAGGGGAGAGGCATGGATCAGCTGGGCAGGGGGCAGGTGGGCTGCTGCATGGTGGGGGTGCATGGGGGGACAGCGGTGTGGACTTGTGCAGAGCCTCAGGAGAGGGCAAGGGTGGCATGCAGCAGTGCCCACCAGAGGAGCACCCTAGGGTGTGGATCAGAGAGTGCTTCCTGAGAGGCAGAGGGGCCTGAGAGGGAGGGTCCTTCTGCTCTGTGGGGTGTGTCGGGGTCCCCCACACTAGGGAACCTGTAAGTCTGTGAATGAACCTGGTGGTCACCAAGCATCTCCCGTGTCAACCACGGGGCAGCTGAGAAGCAGGTGCTCACGTTTGCATCAGAACCGGGGCCACAAGCGTCTGGGGAGACGGAGCCTTCCCTGGAAGGGGGCTCTGGGGCTGGGTTGGCTCGGGGTGGGAGGTGCCCCTGCATCCATTCTGAGCCCTGTAGCCACTGTCTCATTGTCCTGGGACCCAATGTGTGCTGATCACTTCAGCAGCCCCCTGGCTGAATCTGACACCCTGTAGTGTTGCCCAGGAGCCAATAACATGAGCAGATTGGGTGGGAGCAGCATCCCAAAGCCCACCTCCTCACCTTGTCCTGGCCAGAGGCCCTAGCTCCCTTCCCCTCCCCTCCCCTCCCCTCCAGACCCTCCTGAGCCAATCTGGGTGGCAGCCCCCCAACACCGACTCTTGGGAGCTCTGCCTTGACCCCAGCGTCTCTCGCCCTGGTGCCTCAGCCCACCTTTCTGTGCATGGGCCCGGGGCGGGGTGCAGCCCTGCCCTTGAGTGGACGCCCGGCTCTCTGGCCCTGGTGTGAGGGAGGGAGGGAGGGAGGCCAACCCTGCTTTCTTGCTCGCTCTTGTTACCGTGGCGATTTCCTTCCGGAAGGGCCCACAGAGGCAGGAGGGACGGGGAGCATGAGCACTTACTCCTCTCACAGTGGAGTTTAGTTAGCAAACGAAGGAAAACATCTTTATCCAAGTGCATGTTCCGAGGCCGTGGACGTTCCTAATGGGTGGGATGTGCTCACTGAGGGAGGTGGAGAAGCTGGGCAGTAGGAAGGGACAGAGCCACCCCGGCCGCACTGCCCGGCACGGCCAGTCCAAGCGGGGTCCTCCGTCTCGGTGTGGGACTCTAGGGTGCTCTGCCAGGATTGTGTTCCTCGAGGTCACGAACTCTGTCCTGACTGGAGAGTGCGTGTCCGAGTCCCCTCGCCAGAGGAGGACAGTCTGGGCCCAGTCCTGGCTGGGGCTCACTGCTGGTGACCAGGCAAGCCCGCTCTGGTCTCGGCCCCTCTCTCCCTCTCCTGTGTCGAGGCTCGCGATGGTGAGAGGGGACCACTCTGACGCCCTGAGGTGGCTGCAGCCACTGGCCAGGCACCCAGAGGTGGTTGGGGAGCAGCCAGGGCTACGAGAGTGGCTGGACGGACCACCAGAGTCCTGGAGCTGGCAGGGCCCTTGGAGTCATTGTAGGCAGGAGGCTGGGGCCCAGAAGCCCAAGGGATCAGTCCCAAAGAACGGGACTGTTGGGGTAGAGCCCAGGTTTCCTGCCTCCCCCTGCCGGCCGGCTGGAAGGGCAGCGCCTGCTCTCAGGCTGAGAAGACATCAGCTTAGTCTGCCCCATCGCTGCTGTTGGATCCTCTGCTGAGGTCCTGGTGGGCAGGGATTCCCCGACTCTGCCTCACCCTCACATGCGGCCCAGTGGGGTTGAGCCCTGCCTGTGGGGGGGTCCCTGTCACATGGTCACGGCAACGGCACAGGCCTTGCACCCACACACAGGAACGGGGAGCCTTGTGGCACGTGCCTGTGAGCTCCAGAGCTGCCCATGTGGCCTGTGCTGTGCTCAGCCGCCCTGCTAACATGGGGTGAATTTCTGGAGGATGTGGGTCTCGGGGGGTGGTGACCAGACAGGTCCCTTCCTATGTTGGCATCTCCTGGCTTTGGGTTATTTGGGCCTCTGTTTCCTTCCCCGGGATCGGGGATGACATCTCAGCTGCTGGGGCTTTGGGCAAGGTGCTGGGGGCAGCCAGTTCTCCTGTCCCCATGGAAATGTCACAGAATAGGGCTGAGCTTCCTGTAGCCTGTTTCAGGACAGCACATCTGAGCACCAGGGTTCAACTCTCAGCTCCCCTCACGCGAGCTGCGCCTGAGATTGTCGCTTGTCCTGGAGCTTCCTCATCCTCAGCTGGACTCTCGTGCCGGTCCCTGCCTGGCCCACTCGCAGGGCCCTCGGGAGTGTGAACGGAGCGTTGGGTGAGAGGGCTTGGCCCTGGCCCTTGCCTTCCCTTCCGTGTCAGTGCACAGGCGGGGCCCCCTGCACCCACCCCCACAGGTGGGGGGCGGGTGGTGCACTGTAAACGCGTTTCCTTCCGGCTGCTCAGTGGCACTCAGGCTGCTAACCCTCAGCAGGGTCCCCTCAGGCTCTGCCATGCCACTCTGCTGAGAGCACCGCCTCAAGGTCACCGCGATCTCCAAGGGCCAAGTCCCGTGGCTGCTCCCCTGGCCTCCCTCTGTGCCCAGCAGTGTGGACTCTCCCCACCTCCCAGCCTGCAGCTTCCCTGGGCCTCCGCCCCATCGGCCATCCTTTTGTCGCATCCCCTCCTCCTCCTCCCCACGAGAAGCCTGAAGCTGCTCTCCCGACCGCCTGGCTCCGAAGCTGCTGTGTGCTCGTGACTCCGCAGTTATTTTTACATCTCCAGACGCCTGCGTCCAGCTGCCTGTGTGCGTCACTGTGAGCTGTCTGGGGGCTTCTCAGCCTCATGTGTCCAGGAGATCCTCCCATCCTGGCCCCCACCTCAGAGGCCCCTCCCCAGCCATCCCGCCCACACCTGGGGAGTCCTCCTCAATAGCCGGCTTCTTGCAGCTACATCCGGCCACCACGCCGTCCCAGCCAGTAGATGACAGCTTTGGCTGTTCCTTGGCCCCAGCCAGCTGTGGCCACAGAGTGTCCTCCTGGACAGCTGCAGCACCTCCGAGGCTCCCACTGCCGCCCAGGGCCATTCTCCACATGGCAGCTAAGGTGGGCTTCGAACAGAGCCAGGCCGGTCCTCTCTGCTCAGAGCCTTTGAGTTCCCTGCTGCCTGGGAGCAGAGCTCTCTGCGTCGATCACCAGGTCCACCAGATGCAGCCTGCCCACACCTCGGGCCACTCTCCCCCTCCTCCTCGGGCTGGCCTGGCCCTCTGGGTCCTGCAGAGGCCACGCTGCCCTGCCACTGGGTATTTGCACTGGCTGTTCCCTCTAACACAGTGCTATTCCCTGTGGGGCTGCTGTGCAGGGTCAGTTCCCTCCTGGGAGAGTCAGTCCCCACCCAGCTTTCCTTATCTGTGGGCTCATCTGTGCATCTGACGTCTCTGCTCATAGAGCCAGCCCCATGGGAGCCTGGCTTTGCCCCCCGGGTCCTGGGCTGCTCACAGAGGCAACACACAGTAGGCATTTGCAGAACAAGCTGGGCTCAGTGCTGGCGGACACCAGGTCAGGCTGGGACAGAGCCAGAGGGGTGAGGCGGCTCTGAGGGGCCCAGTGGGGGTCTTTCAGCGCCCTTGAAGGCTGGTGGGATTTGCCCTGATGTTGGTTGCCGCCGTCTGTTGCCTTTCCCTGTCTCAGGGCACATCCACCAGCCCCACCTGCTGCTGGCTGCAGGGCAGGAGTTACTGGAGGGCAGGGTGGGCTGAGCCTCGGGGCCTGGGCGACTTACTGTCCAGCTCCGTGTCCCTGCAAGTATTTAATGATGGCACTGGATCATGGGCCTCCCCAATTGTCCCAGGCCTGGGTTGTGGCCCTGCTGGGTGCACTCTGTGCTCACCGGGGCATGGCGTTTGCTGGGGCCACTGCGTGCCGGGCCGGGCTGTGTGCAGGCTGCGTGTCCTAGCCTCTCTCCCAGATGAAGAGCAGAGGCTCAGAGAGCCTGAAGATGGGTGCCCAGATGTGGGGTTGAGCCGGGGTCACCCTGTCCCCCGCTGGGGCACCCATGCACATCTGAGTGTGTACTTGCACATGCGAGTGTGCACGTAAGAACGTGCAGGTACATGTGTGTGCATGAACATGTGAGCATGTGCCCATGTGAGGAGTGTGAGCATTTGTGCGTGTGTGTGTGCATGTGGGTGTGGGTGAATGTGTGGCCTGTGCTGGTGGAGTGTGAAAGAGTGCGTGTCTGTGGCTCTCTTAGCTCGAGTGGCTCTAGCAATACCACAGCCTGGGGCATTTCTGTCCCATGGTGCTGGAGGCTGCCAGTCCGAGTGAGTCAGGTCCGCGGCTGCCGAGGCCCTGCTTCCCGGTTCATGGACGGGGGCTCGCGGTGTGTCCTCACACGGCGGAAGGGCAGGAAGCTCTCTGGGGCTTCTTTTATAAGGGCACAAATCCCATTCCTTAGGGCTCCACCCCTATAATCACCTCCTGAAGGCCCCACCTCCTGTCACCATCACTTTGGGGGTGAGGGCTTCACCACATGAATTTAGGGGGGGCACATGAGGCCCTAGCAGTGAGTGTGAGCGCGAGTGTCTGCCTGTGCGAGTGTGCACCTGCTAGCACGGCGGCCCCTCTGCCTGGGCTTTTACCTTGTGGCGCTTTCTGCCTTTGAGGAGCCCCCAGATCTTGCAAATGACTCCAAATCCTGTGCCTGGAGACAGGGTCTCTTGGCCAGGCTGCCTCCCAGCGGCACCCCATGTGTGGGGGTGGCACAGCACGCCCATGGTGCCACCTTGGTCACTGGGCAGGAGACCCTCCGAACGACCAGGCCTCCTGGGAGGGTGCGGCAGGGAGTGCTTTGGGCCCGGACGCTGGGGGAGCCACCTGTTGGGTGCCAGCTCCTGCTTCCCTCTGTCCCGCGTCCCCCAGGCCAGGCTGCTGTGTCCCAGGAAGACTGCAGCTCCGCTCCCAGCACTCTGTGCCGATGCTCCCGCCTGCCGGTGTGGCCTCAGGCCCCTGCCTGGAGTTTCCACTTCTCCGGTGCCCCTTCTCACAGCAGCTTTGCGCTGCGGCACTTGCTACAGAGTGGGCTTTCAAAATAGGGTGTCGAGGAGAGGGGCTGGAACAGCTGCAAGGAGTGGAGAGGGGAGCCCTGTCAGGTGGGAGGTCGAGCCAGCACCCCAGGCTGGGGGCTTGGAACAGTAGAAATTCATCCTTTCGGTTCTGGAGGTCAGAGATCTGAAATCAAGGGGTCAACAGGGGGTTGAAATCAAGAGCTCCACACTCCCCGCGGGGGCTCTTGGGGCCAGACTGCTACGTAGAAACTGCCCCAGGAAAGCCAGAGACTGTGGGGGTGGGGCTGGACTTGAAGGGTATGGTGGGGGCCCTTTCTGGAAATCTGGAGAGCATCTTGGCGGGGTCAGAGCCCGGCAGGCCGGCGTGTGGCCCCAGAGGGAGTGGCCGGTGTGTCTGGGGTGAGTGGCGAGGGCCTTCTGTGAGTCAGGAGGGAGATGGGGGCACCTGGCCTGAGGGCGACACTATGGGGACAGATGATGGTGCCCAGGGCAAAACCGAGCGCCACATGAGCAGCTTCAGGGCAGTGGCCCGGACTGGCTGGCGGCAGAGGCAGGAGGTGGTGCCTGCCTGTGTGGCTGAGGCACCACAACCATGGAGCCAGGCCTCGGAGGCAAAGGGTCCCTGCCTGGGCTCTGGGGTGATCAGCCCACCAGGGAGCACAGGAAGCCAAGGCGAAAGGTGGCAGGTGGTTGGTTGGCAAGTGTGTGCCCCTTGCAGAGCACCGTGGGCAAGTCCTGCGTTGCGCGGTCCCCTCTGTGCACACACGGCCAGATCCAGGGGGCCAGCCCAGCAGCACTGCCACCTGGTGGCGTGGGCAGACATGTAACTCCATACACCTTCCTGCACACAGTTTTCACAGCATCACCACAGGTGGGGGTCCTCCTGTCCCCATGTCACAGATGAGGAAACTGAGGCCAAGAGCTCCAGGGGCCTGTCCAAGCCCAGGCAGCTGGGAGGGCAGGCAGAGGTTCCTGTTGGGCCTCACCCCTGGGAGGCCCCTCGGTGTGGCTGGGGTGTGGCGCGGTCTGTGTGGGGCAGGACTGTCCTTGTGGTCTCCATGTGGCTGTGGCCCCCAGAGGCAGAGGGGCCTGGGCCTGCCCCCACAGCTGTCCAAGCACAGCTTGCCACAGAGGGCCGGGGACCAGGCTGTGGTGGCAGAGTTTGGGTGGCGAGGCTCGCACTGTGGCTGCCTGTCCCTGTGGAAGGTCTTCCTGTGCTCCCGCCAGCCCCTTACGTTTTTGTTCCTCCGGTCCTCTGGTGGCATTTGGGGGAGACCTTTTCACTGTGGCAAATTGCATTTATGCCAACCTGTCTGGCTCATTTCTGTCGGGCTGGCCTCCCCTCCCGCCAGGAGCCGTCTTCCCAGGCTGCTCTCAGAAGAGATTGTGCTGGAACCCGCAGCCGGGCAGCTGGGTTTCTGTGGGTTCTGGACTGTTCCTTTCTCAAATTGGGAGTGCCTGAGCTGTTTTCTAGTCATAAGCGTTTCAGACCCTACGGACAAATTCTCAGACAGGAGGTGAAAGCCCCAGTGCCGCCCCCATGGGCCCTGTGTGAGTAACGTTCTACTGCGTGCGGCCACCACTGGCCCATGCACCGCCTCGGCCGCCTTTGTGCCGCCAGGGCGGCAGCCTTGAGGAGTCCGACGGAGATGTGCGGCCCCAGAACTGTCTGTCCTCTGGCTCCTCATGGAGGAAGGTGCCTTGATGGCTGCGCAGGACCCCTCGGGCTCCCACGGCTGTGACTTTGTGGCCCTGTGTGACAGAGGGACCAGGAAGGGAAGCAAAATGCTGTGGCTGTTCTGGGTGCCACCAGGAAAATTAGGGTTTCAGTCCATTTCATCTGGGAGTTTGGTTCTCACATGGGTTTGCTGGGCCTGTTTGAAGAGCAGACACCGGCTTTGCAGAGGCTTGAGGGAGACGCGTCCGGCATCCTTTGCGGGGCATTTTCCTCCGCCTGCTACGTGTGCACGGGGACTCGATTTCTGCAGCTTTGCGCAGGATGTGGGGTTGGCTCACACATAAGTGTGTTTAGGTGTTTGCAGACCTACACTCTCAGCAAAGGCTGGCGTCCTGGGCCCCCTGCTGGGCCGGCAGGGGCTGGGGGAGACCAGTTTGTCAAGTCTGGGCTGATACCAGAGGCCCAGGAAGCTCCTCACGTCATCTTGACTGTTCTCTCAGCCAAGCTGCCCTGCCATGCACAGGTGTGCGCCCGAGTGGCCAGGTGTGTGCCCGGGGCCGTGCTGGGGCTGGTGCCGCGCTGTGTCTGAGCTGCACTCCAGGTTGAGTGGATTGTACCGGGCTCGTTGCTGGCTTTGCCATGGTGTAGAGACAGTGACATTGGAAAATGGGAACTTGGGGGCGGAGACCTGAGTTGCCCTGGAGGGTCCAGGAGGTGAGACTCAGGTCCGTCCCCTGCAGCTGAGGAAGGGACCCGGGCCTGCCACACTGGACAGTGGCTTGGTGGAAGGGGGGCTGGGAAGCCCAGTGACTCCTTCCTCCCCCAGGCTGGAGCTCAGGCCACATTTGCAAACAAGGAGCCATCACATGATGTGGGTCCGGCGTGGCAGGGAGTGGGCACAGGCAGGGCCAGCGTAGGACTGAGGCGGGAGGCCATAGCCGCTGGCAGGGTGCCATGCCTGGGACCCCGAGACACTGCTTAGAGCTCCTGCAACCCTTAGTGTGGCCGGGCGGGTCCACTGGGGAGTCCAGGACCCAGCCACAGGGGCCAGAGCCAGGCGGGCAGGGTGCAGCCGTGAAGCGTCTGTGCTTGCTGCGCGCTCCCGGCCTGTGGTCTTGCAGGGAGGGGGATCGTGCTGCTTGGCACACGAGCAAACAGAGACATGGCGTGGTTGGGTGGCTTGCTCAGGGTCGTGCCTCCAACCTGGGTCTCTTTGTGGCTGTGCCGTAGCCTGCTGGGGGTGCCGAGGCCGCGGGCTGGCGGGCGGGCGGGCTGGGCTGGCGTCCTGATGCGCTCCCACCTGTGCAGACTGCCTGCTCATGCTGGTCTACAAGGACAAGTCGGAGCGTGCCAAGGGCCTCCGGGAGCGCAGCAGCCTGACCCTGGAGGACATCTGTGGCCTGGAGCCCGGCCTGCCGTACGAGGGCCTGGCCCACACGCTGGCCATCGTCTGCCTGTCCCAGGCCGTCATGCTGGGCTTCGACAGCCGTGAGGCTATGTGTGCCTGGGACGCCCGGATCCGCTACGCACTCGGTGAGGGTGAGTGACCCAGGGCAGGGATCCCAGGTGAGGGCCTCCCTCCTTAGGCGTCCTGGAGTCCCCACCGATGTGATGGGACATTAGTGGGTCTTCAAACATTTACTGAGCCCCAAGCTCAGGTTGGGAGAGCCCAGCTCCTGCCTGGGGGTGCTCGGGCGAGAGTTTGGGACCAGCGAGCCTTCGGGTCCATGGGGCCTTAGGACATCCCTAACCACCCCATTAGTTAGAACCTTTAGCCGGAGCTGGTGGCCTTCTTAGGGCAGCGCTCTCCCCAAGCCCTGTCTTTTGCTTCCCACACTGGATGCTGAGCCAGAGCCAGCAGCTCCCCCACCGCCACCTGGCAGGCCAGGAGGGCAGGGAGGAGTGTGCACTTCCGGGGAGCCATCACGCACAGCCCCTCAGGGTGGCCTGGTGGACGGGCAGGTGCATGGTCCGACCACTCCCTGCAAGGATGTGCCCCAGGCCACTGCTGGGAGCAGGGGGTGGGAGGATTGGGACCAGGGGCTGGAGGTCAGCAGGATGGGTTCTGCCTCTGTTCCTGGGCCAGGCTCCCTTGGTGTGCACCCCCTTCTGAGGTAGGGGGTGAACTGGGAGAGAGAAGGGAGAGGATGAGATGGTGCTCACGACCATCCTCTCAGGGGCCTTCAGAGGCAAAGGCCACGCTGAGGTCGTGGACAGGGCCACAGGGACCCAGGGCAGCGCCCGGCTACCTCTGGGTGGTCTCATTGTCAGGAGAACAGTGAACTGGGCAGAGGAGGATCCAGGGTTTCCTGAGTGTCCCTGAGGCCAGTGTGGGACTAGAGGCTGGGCCTCCCTGAGCCTCAGTTTCCTCATCTGTGAAATGGGACCACATGGCTGCCTGGGCGGCAGGCGTGGGAGGAGGGCTCCCCCAGCCCAGCGTAGGTGCTGTGAATAGCAGCCCAGACCCGTGTACCTCAGCGTCCTGTCCTCCTGTCTTCCTGTCCTCGAGAGCTGGGCGGGGCACCTCCTGGAAGGAGAGGGAGGAGGGAACTACGGCCCCACCCGAGGCGGGGGCTGCACCCCCAGGCTGCACCATTGCTGCTTATTCGTGTCATAGCGTGCTGTGAACAGCTGCTGAGGGTGGGGCCACCCCCAGCCACACGGGGGGCCACTTCCCAGCCACACCAGGGTCCCAACCCCTGCCATACCAGGGTGCCACCCCCCGCCACACCAGGGTGCCCCCCCAGCCACACAGGGGGGCCAACCCCCACCTCACTCCCTGTGACACCCATTTGCTCCCACCTGGCCCCTCAGTGCACAGGTTCCACGTGACGGTGGCGCCAGGCACCAAGCTGGAGAGCGGCCCGGCCACCCTGCACCTCTGCAATGACGTCCTCGTCTTGGCGAGGGACGTCCCTCCAGCTGTCATGGGGCAGTGGAAGCTGTCTGACCTCCGGCGCTACGGGGCCGTGCCAAATGGATTCATCTTTGAAGGCGGGACCAGGTGTGGGTACTGTAAGTACGCAGGTGCTGGGGACCTGAGACAGGGCAGCTCCAGGCTCTCGGCATCCCCCACACACCGTCGGCTCTGGGCCGACCGACCCCACTTGGCTGCCCGCGTGGCCCACGTCGCTGGGATTGCACTGGAGGGTGGGTTGTGTCCCTCCACGCCTGCAGTCAGGAAAACCCAGAGCTTAGCTTAGAGTCTGGCCCCGGGGCTGCCTCTTGGCTTCCCTGTCCCAGGATGCGAAGAGGGGTCTTCCAAGCATTGTCACAGCTCATGGCCATGTGGCTGAGGTCACAGAGCATCAGAGCCACTGCCGTTGAGATGTAATGAAAAGAAAAAACTAAAGAATAAATGCATTTAGCAAGGACATGCAGGCGCCCCACGGAGAGAAACGCATTTGTGGACCAAGAATTTCTCATGGACACACCAGCCTCCATGGCCCCTCAAGCCACCCCGATGTCACCAGTGAGGTGGCTGAGCAGGGGAAGGGGGTGGGCTGGGTCCCTCACGCATGTGAAGGCCCTGTGACCCATCCTGGCCAAGTGTGGAAACCAGAGCGAGTGTCCAGGAGTGTGGCCAGCGACCGACTGCTGCACGGGGCGAAGTGGGGTAAAGCACCCTGGTCCTTCACAGAGACCTGGGGGTGCTCTTTGGGACCCACTGTTCCCGAGGGGGGTGTAGACACACCGGCTGCTGTGTGGACCTGTGCTCCCCTCTCAAGAGGGGCAGCTGCTTGTCTGCGCTGGCTGCCCGGAGCTCGCAGTGGGCTGAGTGGCTTCCTGGGGGGTCACATGGGGCCATGATGACCACGGCAGCGTGCGCACCTCACGCTGGGCCCCGCCCCTCCCACCCAGCACACCGTGGGGCTCTGGGGGGCTCCCGCTGTCTGGCTGGGCAGATGCAGGCAGGGGCGCGGGTCATGCCGGATGCTGGCCACCTGGGCCCTCATCCCCCAAAGGGCCGGTGGGGGGAGCACAGGCCGTCTGGGTGCTGCATCCCACCCTCCATGCCAGGCACTGGGAGCAAACCTGGTGGGCCTTGTGGCAGGAGCTGCCCTGCTGCCCTTCGCGGAGACCGTTGATGAGAGCAGAGTACGGAGGTGCCGGCCATGCTCCCGCTGGGGCCTCGAACACGCGAAGCAGGTGCAGCGAGGTTCGAGGGGCAGAGGCTGGTTTGAAGTCGCAGGCCCCGGAGCTGGCGGGTGGCCACAGCCAGAGTGTGAAGGGCCCTGGCGTCCTCCGGGGTTTGTGAGTGTGTGTGTGTTCACACAGCTGCTGCCCTAGCCAGCTGGGGACGCCTGTCGGGGCCCCTGGTCCTGTCTACTGGATGGGCCCCGGACCCCTCTTCCTCGGCAGGCCAGAGGTGCAGCACCTGGGCGTCGGGATCTGTAGTGTGGTCGGGGTGACTCAGCTTCCCTCTCCTGCGTCCCCTGAGGGTGGGAGCTGCAGTCACTCCCTCCGCTCCCTCCGCTCCCTCCATGGTGCCCTGGATTTGTGGCTCCTGGAGCTGCTCGGAGCCCCGGAGGAGGGGCAGCCACGTCCTCTTTTCCCTCTGTGCAGTGCTGGGTGCAGGCAGGCGGCTGCCAGGTGGCACTGGTGCAGGTGCCCCCTTGTCTTCGGAAACCTGGTTATTTTGTCCCAGGCACAGTGGAATGGGGCCTACTGTGTTTTTGCTCTGAGGCCTCAGAGTTTAAAACCCTGTGTCTTGGTGGGGTGGGCTCCTTGTCCCCTCGTAATAGTTCTGGGAGTTGGAGCTGCGAGTCTCCGGAGAGGCAGAGGCTGCTGTTGTGTTTCCCCAGGTTTCAGAAAACCAGGGTACACCGTCACGGGGCTGTCCTGGTGCTGCTCTGAGCAAGGTCCTATTAGCTCCATCCCACGAACCCGGGGCCAGCCTGGCAGAATCTGCCTCCAAATGCAGGGCTTGGTGCCGAATATTCTCAGCCCACTGTGGGCCCCTGGCCGGAGCGCAGATACTCTCGGGAATTCTCAGTCCTCCCTACAACTTCCAGCCCCGCTCAGACCCATGGCAGCTGGAAAACGGGGTGTGGGCTGGGCAGGAGGGGTGGGCTGGGCCGGCCCATGCCTCTGACCCCGCATGAGACTGCACCAGCGGGTTTTGAGACTGTCATGGCAAACTGCTGCAGCCAAGCGGCGACGTCCTTGACAAGACAATGGTCGCACGGCTGGGTGGCCGGAAGGATGGGCGTCTGCTGCACCTGTGGTCAGACCTGGGCCTCTGGGCGAGAAAGCACAGTTCGGTGTGGTCCGGGAGTGCTGGGCTTTGGCACCTTGGGGCTGCCATGGCTGACGCCTCCCTGAGGCCCTAGGGGAGGGTCCTTCCTGCCCCCCAGCCCCTGGTGGCCCCGGTGCTCCTCGGAGTGGGAGTGTGGTTGTGTCTCTGCCTCCGTCTCCGCCTCTTCCATCCCTCACAAGGACACCAGTCACTGGATTTAGGGTCTCCCTGGGTGATCGTGTCTCTCAACCCTTAACTAATTCTGACTGCAGGACCCTCGCCACAGGTTCTGGGACCCACGGCAGGGGTGGCTCAGGGTGGATCTGGTCACGTTCAGCCTAGAGGACAGAGCTGGGCTGGGGTCCTCGGCCCTGGAAGGTCTTGGGTGTATGGAGTTCACATTCTCTCCCTTCCTGGGGACAGGTCCCAGCCTGGTGCCCCTGGACCTCAGAACCATTCCCCGTCGGCCTGGCCACGGCCGGCTTTGCAGAGAGCAGATAGGAACCCAGGTTGCTCTTCACTGACTCTAAGCCGCTGGGCATGGCTGGGGGTGGGGTGCCCTGGGGGGTGTGGAGGT